GGAGCTGAAGGAGCCACGAGGAGACCCCTGCCAGTGCTGAGATGCTTCCACTGCCACTGGATCCACAAGGCTTTCCACCCACTGCTCTGTGATCTTCCTGCATTCGGCGTCCTTGCATGTGTTGTGTGAGCCTGAAGAGGAATTTGTAGATTGGTACGGGACATATGGGTTCATATCGACTCCACAGCGCACAGCAACAATAACTAGGAATATGCTATTGTTAAACCAAGTTCAGACTTTATTCAGAGAACCTTCGTTTGACCCAATGCCCGGTCTTTGTGCCAGGCTGCCTCTCAGGACACCAGCTTACATCATGCATCAGCATGTCCTTGCAGGCGTCCACCCACCTCTCGGCTGGGGCAGTTTCTCAGATGTCCCTTGGTTTAGATAATCCTGACGGGGGCCAGGACTGTTTTTCTCATCATGAGACTGGAGTCATAGGGCTATCGGGTTAACTACCCCAGAGGTGAAGTGGCATTTTCATCACATCATGTCCAGGCCATGCTGCAACAGGAGTTATGACACCTGGCTGAGGAGGTGTGTGTCAGGTCTCTCCAGCCTTCGTCTCACAGCCCCACAGTTTTACGTCACAGGTAGAAAAGCGGCCCCTCCTCTCACTCACTTCCTGCACAGCCGTCAGCTCCGGTTCACAAACAGGTCTCTCAGCCTTCAGCCGCCCACGGCCTCACTCACTGCCCTCCCAGGGCTCTATAGCCCCAGGTGGAGTTGGGCCCTGTGGGGTCTCAGGGCCGGGCTAGAAAGAGGAGCTGCTGGGTACCTTCAAACTCTTCTCCAGCTCCGTTGCCACCCGGGGGGCTGCGGCCCGGATGGCACCCTGGATGCTGTGTAGGTCCCACTGGGTCCTCAGCAGAGCATCGTCCAGCGTGAAGAAGCCGTCTCTCGTGCGCCGCACTTGGGAACAGGCTGCGGTGGTCTTCAGCTCCAGGCCGATCTCATGCACCAACTTCCGGAGCTGCTGCTGCGTCTCATGCATGCACTGAACCTCTGCCGGGACACAAGGACAGACACCCTGACGGCCATCTGAAAAATGGGGCGGCTGTGCAGAATCAAAGAGATGATTCACAGAAGGGGCGGAGCATTGGCCATGCTCAAGAAAAGGCCTTCTTGTTACCGTGACCAGCAGCAAAGGGTTGGGGGGCAGA